TTCATCAGTATCTAGTGTCTTCATTATTAATGTGTGCACTTCATAGGTCATAGGCACTGCCTCTTCCCCTGTGTTCCAACATGACTTTTAAGATCAGCCAAGATCTTGTCTGTATTGACTGTGCACTGTGTTCAAACAAGAAGATAATGAAGAGAGGTGTTTTCAATAGCTACCAAAGTTACATCAGTAACCAAGTACTTTCTGTTTAGTGTCTGCTTGATTTTTAAACTCGTCTGTCTTGAGGCCTAAATATGGGATTGGAGAGCAGTGCATTTTTTTAAGTGCTCATATAAAGTGTTTCATTTAGACTTATTTTTCAGTATGCTGTGTATTAACATGACACTCCTTACTCTGGTGTAGGCTGCGAGCTTGGAATGGAAGAATAAAGAGAACTGTGATACTGGATTTAAGTTTCTATTTGCATTGTTCAGAAAGTATTACCTTCCTCACTTATTTCCCTCTTTTACAAAACTAACCAACGTATACAAACCTGTGCTTGGTGAGTAGCCATTTTATTTTTATTTTTTCCAAATAAAGTGTGAGATACGTATATTTTCCGTGCGTCTCTTAATGTCTCTTTATACGCATTTGAATATATTTTCTTACTATGCGCTCTGGTTCTAAATATGTTCACTCTGATCCAGAGAACCATGAGAGTGCCAGAAGGATGCCCATCAGGGGACACCAGGCATGTCACGGTTCTCTAGCTTCAGCCAACCACCTGCAATATGGGGATGATATAAAATTGACCTACCTTAGAGGGTTGCTGTAAGGGTTACAAGAATGCTTTAGGGAAGTGAATGTGTTTAGGGTTGGGGATCTTACAGCCTGATCCTAAACATGCTTGCTTGGAGGAAGGCCCATTGACCTAAATGTGTTCTCCTTTCAGGTAAGCATGCATTGGATTGCAACCTTTGTATTTTATTCAATAGGCATGATTTTAACAATGGTGTAGTAAAAACTTCACTTCTCTTTAAAAGCTAAAGGCAAAACAACCTGAGTGTTATGTCTTTTTATATAATCAAGTTGTAGGAGTAGAAAGCTGGACGTGTCGGAGAAACAATTCACATGTGAAACTTGTGACACTTTAGATCGTTGAAGTGATATATGACGACTTTCTAAATTTAAGCCACCCTTTCTGTACTTTTTGCCTGAGGAATGATCATTTATATGGCTTTGTAATGTTTCAAACATGGAGTTCAACACTTGTACAAAATATTGCTTTCTCTGAGAAAGGTGACTTCATTGTTTTCACTGAGTGGAAAAATGACACTGTGAACCGTGTAATTCACAATGTCAAAATTTTTAAAATTACATTTTCTGTTTTCTGATTTACAGACATTCCTGGCCTGCGACCCAAACCAGCGTATGTTAGTGTAGCTTGTAATAATGAAAACATTTATAGCACAAAAATACCATACATGACAGCTCGTGTAGCCTTTATTAAATGGCTTGTAAACTTTTTTCTGGAAAAGAAGTACTTCACACCAACACAGAATTCTAAAAATGGAGGGGACGTTTTGCCCAGAATCATTCAAGTGAGTTGTAAATTGTATACATGTTTGTATTCCTTTAAAAAATGTTAAATTGGAATGTTATAGCTAATGCTTTGTTAAATGAACTGTGATATTTACATGGGCTTTACCCATTCTGTTTGTGCGTTTTGAGAGTTACTGTTAGCCATAATTACATAGAATGTTTTCTGAAATAAGCTTTTCTTAAATAGTAGAATAAATCTTTGTGACAATTGGCAGTTACAAAAAATGAAATGTGGCTTTAAATATGGATTTAAACAAATGTATCCTGAACTATGTAAAAGATTCACACATAATGCTAAGCCACTACATATTAAGTTTATAAATTATAATTTGCTGTCTTCTCTCTCCCCTCTCCCCAATGTTACTTAAGAGTGTGGGCGGTGCAATTCAAGATAAAAATTCTGAAGTAGAGAACAGTGTTGTATTGGATCAGGAGAAAAGTCATTCAACTAATGGCACGTTGACTGAGAGGAGGCTCAGTGATTCCAGTTTTTGCAGTATTGAAGAACAACACCGGGCCGTCTATGAGATGGTGCAACAGATCCTTTTGTCTACACGAGGTTATGTCAATTTTGTCAATGAAGTCTTTCGTCAGGTTAGTTCTGGGTAAATATATGTATGCTGTGGAAATGTAGTAGTGTGCTAGGTTTAGATCATGATTTCCACATTAAATCCTTGCCCAGTCCTGACATGTACTAGGAAGACTTGGGCCACTCAATCTCTCTTTTTCCTAACCTTCATCTCTGTGGGTTGCTGTCAGGGTAAAATAAATCAATGTAATCTTCTTCTAAGGTCTTGGGAAAGTATGAGTAAAATATTTCTAGAGGTGTATGGGAGATAAAAGCACAATAAAGCTATGGTGGCAATCCTGAGCTCATGTACCTAGGGAGTAACTCCCATTGACTTCACTGGGACCTATTTCTGAATAAACTTAGGATTGTGGTACAAAAGGTTAAAGTTGTAATAAAGGCTGAGATAATTCAGCTAAACATCTTTTGCTTCTCTCTAGAGAGAAAATTGCGGGATATACAAGTGTGACTGTTATAGTGAAAATAATAAGTGAGTGTAGGAAAGAGAGATAAAGTGCACAAAAATGCCAAATGTGCTGCCTGTGAAAAGTACCGCTTTTTAAATTAAGAAATAGGTGAAAAACAAGGAGCTGGGTTTTTGTCCCTGCTCTTAGCTTTTCAGAAAAGGAAAACTTAAATATTGTTAGGTGGAATATGCCCTCTTCTGACATACTTTTGAATTGCACTATTTAGTTTAACTTGGACATTACTTACATATTTGAATGTTCAAAGGCAAATACAGTGGTACCTTGATAGTTGAACGGCTTGGCTCTCGAACAAATCAACCCCCGAACTCCACAAACCCAGAAGTGACTGTTCCAGTTTTTCAAATGTTTTTTGGAAGCCGAATGTCAGACGCAGCTTCTGCAGCTTCTGATTGGAGTGCAGGAAGCTCCTGCAGCCAATCAGAAGCTGTGCCTTGGTTTTCAAACCGTTTTGGGAGTTGAACGGACTCCCGGAACAGATTAAGTTTGAGAACCAAGGTACCACTGTACTTGTATTTTTGATCCCTATGTTACACCATGAAGGGATTAAGAAATCTAACTTATAGTGAGGTGATGTGGAATTTGCGAACCAACACCAAGATAAATAACACGAATCCTCATTTACAATGACACAGTAGAGGAAGAAAAGTATAAAGCCAAACCAATGTACCTGTTATAAATATCTGAATAGGTTGGTTGTTTTGTGTCACAGAATTTATTTGATGTAAAGTCTAATTCTGCCTGTTTACATGGATGTCCAAGCCTGTATGTTCAGTGGGTCTTACTTCCAAGGAATATGCATAGAATTGTAGCCTAATTTGTAGAGGGTCTGTTCTATCAACAAAAATGTCCATACTACTAACACATGGCTTTGTAAAATCAGAGAATCATTTGGGATTCAAAAACTTTTAAAAGGCTGATCATTTTTTTAAAAGATTGCAGATCTCTTGGTTCATTATCCTATAGTAAAAATTATATTAAGAGAACCTCAAGGTTGGCTTGTCTTGATCTGTGACCTTATTGCATAATTTTCATGTTATGCAATGAATGCTCCTTTTTAATTATTTGCATATTGGCTTGATGTATTGAAGCGGTGCATTGCAGTGGCGTAACCACATCTTAAAATGTTTTGGATAGCTCTCTTCTGATCTAAGATGGGTGTAGCACACACATATAATAGTACACTCACTCTTACCACCTCCAATCTATTAGAGGGGGGAAACTTATATTGTACCCAAAAGGTGTCTTTCAAGCCTAATTGTGGCATGGGTAGGGGGGAAATTGCAGCTTGGGAGGGGAAGTCCTTGAAATTCCTCCCTGCAGCACAGTAAGGCTTGAAAAAGACTTCTAGCAGAATGTTTTTCCCAAGCCTAATTGCAGTGGGCCAAGGAGGAGATGCTGCAGGCCTGATAGGAGAGCACCAGGAGCTGCTTCTGGCCTGCAGACATTCATCTGTAATGTACTTTCAATCTGTACAAGTGTACTTTATTTCTCTTATGTATCAGGCTTTTTTATTGCCTTCATCTGAGATATCGTCAACAGAAAAAGTAGTGAAGGTATATAGGAAGTGGATACTCCAAGAGAAGCCTGTGTTCATGGAAGAACCGGATATGAAGGAAACGGTTCATGATGATGACGTCTTAGATCATCCAACAGCAGAAACAGAAGGCAAACATGTATGCTACCAGCCTTTATTAAATAGGTGGATAGTTTATAATGTGTAATTAATTGAGGTTTGTGTGCTTTATGATGACTAGCCAGGCTAAGAATAATAGAACTTCACAAAGTTTCATTTGTGGCCTTTCATCTAGCTATCTACCACTAATAATGTGCCTGTTCCCGTCCTAGCTATTCCTACACTCCATAGAGGACTAAACAGATCACATACTCACTACCTCCTAATAAGGACAAATATACCACTTTTGGATATTTTCTTCCCAAGTTTTTGTTATATTCTTCTGTGTGATAGTATGACATTTATTTATTTGATTAAAAATATTTATATGCTGCCCTTCATGCAGAGAGATTCCAAAGCAGTGTACAAAAGGTAAAAATTCAATGGGTTGTATCAGTGGTGTCACCCAGCTGGAGCAGATTTAGAGGTGGGATGAGAGTGGAGAAGAAGGAATGACTGAAAATTGCTTCCCTCCCTGTTCTGATGATGGAAGCCTTCCTGCCAGCTGAGCAATACGATTGGATACAATCCAATTGATAAAACATCAGCTGGCTGCACCTTTTTGAAAATGTCATGATGGAATAAATTATAAAACATCTGAGTAATAAAATGTACTTTTTTCCTTGGCTTGTGAATACTGCAAGTAATGAACTTACCCTTTCCTATTAATATATTAGACCTATAGAAGTAGTCACAGAATTGCAGAGGGACCATGGGGGTCATCTAGTCCAACTGCCTGGAGTGCAGGAATCTTGAACCTATGACCCTGAAATTAAGAGTCACATGCTCTACCAACAAAGCTATATGCATTCAGTTACATATATTATGCCTTCACCTGGCAGTATATCGTGGGTGGGACTTGCCAGCTGGCTGGCGCCTTGACTTCCTTCTCTGGCTGCCTCCTCCCTCTCTGCACCAGGCGCTGGTTGAAGCAGGAGTGGCAGCGGTTTCACCCTGGCGCCTTGTGGGGCCAGGGGTGATGCTCTTTCCTTTCCAGCACCACAGTGTGTCACTATATCATGGTATTCAGCTGGTGATACATCACAGTGTTGAAAACCTGATATCGCCTGCCCTAGCGGTAACATGTGTTGCCCAATTGTGTGGCTCCTGGTGGGAGCATTGACATGAAGGGATGTCATAGTTTAAGGAGCATTTGGATGTGTTTATATGATACAATTATGACTAGTTAATAAAAAAAGATATTGGAACTTCGGAATAACACTGATTTCATTGGGGATTACATCCAACAGAAGCATGTTTAGGATTGGAGAAAGACATGACATGCAGATTTTTGAAAGGCTTCAAGGGCCGTGGAAGTTGCTTGTACCTCTTGGGCTGACCTGCTGCATTTAATTTATTACATCTTAACCATTTTAAAATAAATTTGATATGCGGTCTTAACCAGTGCATATTGTCATGTTTTTTTTTCTTTTTTGAAGCTTGCAACTGGCCATTCTGGACATAAAAGGTCATCTAGTTGGGGAAGATCTCATTCCTTCTCTAATGCGGTCAATAGAGGGTGTATATTAGAAGATGAAAACAAGAATGTCAAAGCAGGGCTTCAAGCTACCCTACAGGTAACATTTATGGGATATCACGATAGTCCAATGGAGCAGAATATTTCTATTTCCAGTATTATTATTTCTGTGTCTGAAGATGAATGCTTTGGACAAATATCACTGAAAGTATTATTGGGCCGCACTCTTCTTTCAAGCTGCTAAAAATCTGGAAATTGATGCGATTGAACTGGGCGGTAGTTGAGAGGCTTTCTGGTAGTTTTTACTTTTACTGGTAGTTTTTGTATGCCCTCCAAAGAAGAAGTATAATAAGATGCTCTCTAGGCTGATCCTAGCCTAGAGAATCTCTAGGCTGCCCAGGAGCCTAGGGAGTTTCTAAGTTATAATGCTAAAGACCCTTTCCTTCTGCTAAATTCTAGAAATATTAAACAGTAAAGACCTTTGGATTAACTTTACCAAAGTCCAGGGGACACAAAACAAAAATACTGTGTAATGTTTTAACAATACAAATGTCTAGCTCATGAGGAGATTTTAGTGAGAAATTCTAAAGAAATGCTTTTTAAAATCAATAAAGACAAATTTCAACAAATAAAGTATTTTATTGGGAGGCAAAGGGGAAGAAAAAGGGATGACAACTATTTATTTGTTTTTTATCTTACGTTTACTATCAGATATTATTTCTAATAATCTTGGAGCAAGACAATAATGTTTTAGAACCCCCAAAGTCTTTTAGAGAAAGTTCCTGAATTTATTCTAGGAAGAGAAATGCCACCTGTAGAAAGGTTTTGTGGCTCACCAGCAATCATATATCCCACTAGGATGAAAAATGGTGGTGAGTGGTCCCAAAACGTTTTGAAAACCAAACTCTGTATGCCTTTTCCCATAAAAGGAATGTAAAGGGTCTTTCCTGTTTGTGGTTGTGAGAATCCATGTTAAGTGTTCTGAACAGGATGTAGTAGACATCTATTACAGGATGTAATAGACATTAGAATAACTGAATAAAATTTGTTGATTTCTATTCTTCTCACCATCCCCTTTGTTTCTTCTTTCCTTCCTTCAAAATATTAAGGTATTCTTGACAAACTCTGCAAATGTATTTTTATTGGAGCCATGTACTGAAATACCTGCACTCCTGAAGGAGCAAGTTGATGCATGCAGAGCAGTTTTGAGTATATTTAGGCGCATGATTATGGATCTTCCAATGAATAAAAAGACATGGTATGTTTTTAATGTATTTCCTCTATGTGTGACATGCACAACATATATCAAAAAGGATCTAAAACATTGAGTCTGCCTAGGAACAAGTCCCGTTGAACTTAACGGCTCTTATTTCTAAGTAGGCTCGGCTGCTAGCATTGAATATTTCAGAATTTTAAAACATATGTATAAATTTATAAAACATACTGTACCTTCTTTTTTTACAACCCTATCTGAAATTTTCTACATAGAAATAAGTTTTGAAATCATGACATTTGGTTGTTGTTTCCCCCCCCCGCCATCTTTAACTCTAAAAGGGAAAGATCTCCAAAAATGTATTATCTGCATGGGGGTCGTTGGAGACCTGGCAGGCCAAATTTGGCCCATAGGCTGGAGGTTTCTAACTTCTGGTTTAATGCAGTTCTTCATGGATACAGAGTGTCTTTTTACTGTGTTGATTTATTATTTTCCATATCTAATAAGCATACTTAAAAAATGCATGGAAAGTGCTATTTTCCTTTGTTCGGGTTGTGATATCAATCTTTCTCTGGGCAAGTAAGTGTCCTCACCTTGGACTTGTGCTCCACCTAGTGGTTGAAGACAAAATTGCTGCTCCAAATGGAATTTTTGAAATTCCTCTTTGGAATCATCAGTGTTTTTTTATTATTATTATTTCAATTCTATACCACACTTCATCCAAGGATCACAGGGTGCTTTACAGTATCAATCAATCAATCAATCAATCAATCAATCAGTCAATCTCCTTTATTGGCATAGACTTAGTGTGTCATATACATGGATCAGAACACAACACAGGTAATGTCAGGGACTGGCCGGAGGAGGAGGAGGAGGAGGAGTGGTAGAGACCACCACCCCAAGAGCATTCCAGAGAATGGGAAGGGGAAGAGAACGAGGTCTTGGACTGGTGGTTCGAGACAGGTCACACCCCAGAAGAAAAGGAGAGGAGTTGGAAATAATGGGTGAAGAAGAACAGGAGCAAGGTAGCAGTGAACAGAGGCAAGTGTCAGGTGTGTTAGAATCTGGGCAGCAGCCAAGTGAGTTGGCCAGAGTCCTCCCCCCCCTTCCCCAAGAACTAGATCTGCTCCACGTATCTCAGAACAGAAGGCGCAAAGGAGACTTGCCCTTAGCAGCCACCATAACCAGCAGAGGCCTGTCTGCATGTTCCTACAGGCACGTCAAGCAGGAGCAGACCCTTTTTTTCTTTATGTCCATCTTCTGTTCACCTCACCCCCCAGAAAAAGCCTGACATTCCTTGGATGTGTGAAGTGCATTGAAGGTGTATATTTATTAAATCAAGTCCTTCTGCCAGTCAGATACTCTCATTCCCCCACTTTCCATTCTTTCCTATGCTGGAAAGTGTTCACTTCTACTTTGACTAGGTGACTTAAGGCCTGTATTTCTTAACTTGCACCTGCCTTACATTGCCACCATCTACAAAAAGATTCTCATTCAGCTAGTGCTACAGGCAGGATTTTCTCTGAATGCTGCATTGCAAGAAATTTGTAGAGCTTCCACCTGGACCAAAGCCAGTACTTTTATCAAGCACTACAAAATGCCCAGCCTGCCCAATCACTAGGCAGCCTTTTCCTTGTTTGTTTCTTTGGTAGTTTTCTGCCTTGCATGGGTCACCGCTGTGTCCCACCTGAGGTCTCCATTACATGTACAGAGAAAAGACCGTTTGGGTTCATTCTTGCAAAGAGGATTTCTGTGCATGTAAACAGGTGACTTCAGGGCCTCACTCTGCAGTATGGGACTTTGCCTTGAGCTGCCTGGCTTTGTTGTTTTTCTACACACACAACATATTACCGGAGCCTTCTCTCCTTTTCTTTGTTGTTATTTATTCATTCTTCTGGTTTTGGTTGGCTGTCACTGTTCTGTGTCTCCTTTCTTTTGAGAATTCCATTTGGAGCAGTGATTCACCCACCAGGAGGGCTCAAGTCCCACGGGATGTTTACATGCACTTAAATGTCTTCTGCAGAAGCCAAATGATCTTTTTTGGAACACCATGGCAGTGCCAAAATTATTCTGAGGGAGTGTAGTTATTATTCTGAGCATCACATTTGTTAATATATTTTGTGTATTTTTCATATGTAAAATAAAATTATGGGATTTATTTCTTAACATGTGGTTTTTCTATTTTGTCTTAGGGAGCAAATGCTACAGATACTACTTAAGATAACAGAAGTTGTCATGAATAGATCAAAAGAGAACCAAGTAAAGGATACATTTGCTCAAAGTTTAGCAGGATTATTGTTTCGGGTATGAGCCGTCATCTTGAAATAATTGTAATTACAGCGTGCTTAACTTTTCCTGTGTGTGAAAACCGCCTCTAACAGTGTGAGAGTTAGAGCAGAAAGATTTTTAGTAAGAAAAAAAGAGTGTAATGTTGTTCCTTGGGAAAATGATAGGCTGGTAGCAGTAGTGTTCAGCTGAACTTAATAACTCCATTATATTAAAACAAGAATTGTCTAAAAATTGGAATTAGAAAATAAAGTACAGGAATGCTTAAAGGGTATGGAAATATTGAAATATTGAAATCTATTGAAATTAATTAACATGGCTAAGTTAGGTTCAACAATTCCAAAGACTCTACTCTGAGTGCCTTCCTTTGTTCTGAATAGTTTTTGGCAATTTAATTGCAAATAATGTATTATAGGTCTTGTATCTTAAGAAGGAGAATTAGGAGTTATTGGTCAGAATATGAATAAATGGATTGAATGAATAGCCTATATTACATTTGAAACATTTCAGACTGCAAAAATAGATAATGGAACAAGCTTTTAGGCTGTGGAAAAGTTACTGCTTCTGAGTGCAACTTTTTTTATTCCCTTGGAATCTAGAACATGGATTAGTGATGCTGCCTTGACTGTTGGGGGGTTACCTTTGCTTGCAAATGTATCCTTTTTTCTATTGTCAAATTCCAGATGAAAAGTCAACTTATTCACCACTCTAATCCCCTTTCTTGTCTCCCCTACACAGACACTCATTGTGGCCTGGGTTCGTGCTAATCTGAGTGTTTATATATCTCGAGAGCTCTGGGATGAGTTACTGCGTGTGCTGTCATCCCTTACAG